ACACACACACTCACTCGCGCACACACACACACACACTCACGCACACACTCACTCGCACACACGCACACACTCACACGCACACACACACACACACAAAGCAGAGTTCAGTCTGTTAATAATAGTGTGATGATCAATAATAATAATGTTAATTATATCAGTAGTAGGTCACGAGGACACACATGGTGCCTTTTCCTGAGACTGACCCTTGTTCTCCCATCCACAGATAAGAAATTACAAACGAATAATTAAATAGTGTGATTTGATCAAATAATTAATGGATCCAAATTAAACAGATTTTTCACCCAAAAATGATCCTTCTGTCATCATTTACTACCCCTCACGTCATGCAATCTTATATAACTTTCTTCTGTTGAACAGAAAGAAGGTATTTTGAAGGCCATTTGGTTGAAGACTTCCAATGTTCGGACAAAAAAACTGTTTTTTGAGACATTTCTGAGAATACATTTTTAGTGTTTCTCAGAAGAAAGGAAAGACATGAGGGTGAGTAGATGATGACAGAAGGATACTTTTTGAGTGAATGATCCCTTTCACTTGTATTTGACTGCACTAATATTAATCCATGCTAGAATCACAGACACCGTGTAGTTGAGTAAGGGCCACACACACACACACACCACTGTCCCTCCTTCTGGGATGACAAAGCGTACCTGAGAATGAAGACAATCTGTTAATTTCAAGCCCTGATCGGCGCATGCTGTGTGTGTGTGTGTGTGTGTGTGTGCCGTTCAGTGTGTGTTCTGCTGGTGTTTATGGCTCTCTCTGGGTGTTGTGTGCTGCTCAGTGCAGATGCTTCACTCCCACATGCAGGGAAACCCCGCTCCTTAAGCTCAAACCCACCTCACAGTTATTCTTCTCTGTTCTGTAAACATGGATGCATTTGTGCTGCTAATAGCAGCATAGATCAGAAAAATGAAAACATTGCACATTCTGATTGCACAGGAGCTGGTGCTGTTAAACTGTGTGCCGTGTGCTTCTAAAGACCCCATGAAATCAAACCAGAGCCTTGTGTCTTTAGTCTAGAGCTAATGTCTATTCATTTTGAGCTCATCTACCTCTAAACATTGACAAATTGTTTTTAGCAGGCATGCACGTTTAAAATTTAAATGGTTTCTCTTTCCAGAAAACAGACATCACATGGGTTTATGCATATGCGTGTCCAATGAAATGCACTTTAGAATTAAAATGTCCCTCCCCCTCAAATATAAATGCCACCTGTCGGGTCAGTTATGAAATTAAATGCTTTCTTCCTCTGATTCTGGCAGGTCTGCAGGTGAGTGTGGTGTTGAGAAAGTTTAATCTACAGCGTGTTCATTGCTCTGAACTTAAGTCTATACGCCGTTTGAAAAGCCCAACAATAGAGCGAATGCACGAATCAATAGAGCGCTGCAGCGGTGATGCACTTTTGTAGGTAAACCAGTACGTTTGCATCACACAATCCCAATAGGGTTTTTCCATTGGATTTTGGGTTTTTGCAGAAAATAAGCTGTGTCCAACACGTATATGATTCTTACAGGTTTAGATCATCATGATAATCTTCACAAATCAACACAACTTTATGAATTTTGAAGCTTAAATATATTCAGCAGAAGTAAAAAGCTAAATGTAGGCTATAAACAAACTACACCACAGTCACATGACTTCAACATCAGCCATTAAGATACTTTCAGCTTTTATTTAAAACATTATCTCTGAAAGTTTGAGTTAGAATAGTGCGATTATTAGCTTATAACACGACGAGTGAGTAGACGAGTTTACCGTTCGGTGTGACGTTTAATGTCTCCTACTCTAGTCCCATTTAGATGCTTGTTAGCAACCATTTTTTTCAAGACAAGTAAAAGCTCACAAGGAGATATTACTGTTGTGTTTATGTCTTGGAATAAAATGTGTAAATATCTTGAGCTTGTGTTAAAGGAGTAGTTCACTCATAAATGAAAATGTGCTCATCCTCAGGTCATCCGAGATTAGGATGAGTGTGTTTCTTCATCAGGTTTGGAGAAATGTAGCACTGCATCAGTGTCTCAGCAATGGATGCTCTGCAGTGAATGGGTGCCGTCAGAATGAGAGTCCAAACAGCTGATAAAAACATCACAATAATCCACAGCACTCCAGTCCATCGGTTAACATGAAATGAAAAGCTGTATGCTTGTAAAAAACGAATCTGTCATTCAGGCGTTAATGTCTTGATGGATCTGTAGACGTAAATTTTCAGCAGATGTTTATTTTTGAGTGAACTCTTCCTTTAACCACAGACCGTGTTTGAGGCTTTTAACCAAAAACCCCAGCGACTTCAGGACGATGTCACCGGAAGTGCTAAAATACTCGTTTTTTGAGACATTTCTGAGAATACATTTTTAGTGTTTCTCAGAAGAAAGGAAAGACATGAGGGTGAGTAGATGATGACAGAAGGATACTTTTTGAGTGAATGATCCCTTTCACTTGTATTTGACTGCACTAATATTAATCCATGCTAGAATCACAGACACCGTGTAGTTGAGTAAGGGCCACACACACACACACACCACTGTCCCTCCTTCTGGGATGACAAAGCGTACCTGAGAATGAAGACAATCTGTTAATTTCAAGCCCTGATCGGCGCATGCTGTGTGTGTGTGTGTGTGTGTGTGTGCCGTTCAGTGTGTGTTCTGCTGGTGTTTATGGCTCTCTCTGGGTGTTGTGTGCTGCTCAGTGCAGATGCTTCACTCCCACATGCAGGGAAACACCGCTCCTTAAGCTCAAACCCACCTCACAGTTATTCTTCTCTGTTCTGTAAACATGGATGCATTTGTGCTGCTAATAGCAGCATAGATCAGAAAAATGAAAACATTGCACATTCTGATTGCACAGGAGCTGGTGCTGTTAAACTGTGTGCCGTGTGCTTCTAAAGACCCCATGAAATCAAACCAGAGCCTTGTGTCTTTAGTCTAGAGCTAATGTCTATTCATTTTGAGCTCATCTACCTCTAAACATTGACAAATTGTTTTTAGCAGACATGCACGTTTAAAATTTAAATGGTTTCTCTTTCCAGAAAACAGACATCACATGGGTTTATGCATATGCGTGTCCAATGAAATGCACTTTAGAATTAAAATGTCCCTCCCCCTCAAATATAAATGCCACCTGTCGGGTCAGTTATGAAATTAAATGCTTTCTTCCTCTGATTCTGGCAGGTCTGCAGGTGAGTGTGGTGTTGAGAAAGTTTAATCTACAGCGTGTTCATTGCTCTGAACTTAAGTCTATACGCCGTTTGAAAAGCCCAACAATAGAGCGAATGCACGAATCAATAGAGCGCTGCAGCGGTGATGCACTTTTGTAGGTAAACCAGTACGTTTGCATCACACAATCCCAATAGGGTTTTTCCATTGGATTTTGGGTTTTTGCAGAAAATAAGCTGTGTCCAACACGTATATGATTCTTACAGGTTTAGATCATCATGATAATCTTCACAAATCAACTCAACTTTATGAATTTTGAAGCTTAAATATATTCAGCAGAAGTAAAAAGCTAAATGTAGGCTATAAACAAACTACACCACAGTCACATGACTTCAACATCAGCCATTAAGATACTTTCAGCTTTTATTTAAAACATTATCTCTGAAAGTTTGAGTTAGAATAGTGCGATTATTAGCTTATAACACGACGAGTGAGTAGACGAGTTTACCGTTCGGTGTGACGTTTAATGTCTCCTACTCTAGTCCCATTTAGATGCTTGTTAGCAACCATTTTTTTCAAGACAAGTAAAAGCTCACAAGGAGATATTACTGTTGTGTTTATGTCTTGGAATAAAATGTGTAAATATCTTGAGCTTGTGTTAAAGGAGTAGTTCACTCATAAATGAAAATGTGCGTGAAATTTTGTTTAGGCGCTGTACCAAAAATAGCCACTGAACCCCATTGAATTTTTTTGAACGCATTTTCCTGTCACAAATTTATTCACAATATTACTTCTATCACAAAATAGTCACTAAATATGGAACCTGGAGAGACAGAGCATTTGAACAATATTTGTTTTGTCAAGATAAGAACAAGTTTTGATCGTAAATATTGACGCCGCCCACTAGGGGGAGGAGCCCGCCAAAAGGATTTAAAGTACATTTGTATGAAACACAATGTCAGATTTCAAAATGGATTAAACAGGAAAGCTTAAATTCTCAAAATTCATTCTATGATATCTAATTTAGGATGATTACTAAAATATGTGATGGTTGGGGAGGAAAAAAAGTGTGGCTGAGAGTGAGGTTAAACTGTTATTCAGTGATAATCTGGCCTCTCATTCTCTGCATATTCAAACTGGTTGTAATATACATTGGTGTTTGATGTTAAGAACATCAAATGTTGCCCGACGCAACTAGAAGATGTGTTTGGGAGGCTTCAAGGAATAGTTAATCTAAAACTGTTATAAAATCAAAGCCATATGTCTAAGTTATGTTCCAAATTTGAAGTTGATATCACAAAAATGTAGGTTCCTGTGAAATTTTGTTTAGGCGCTGTACCAAAAATAGCCACTGAACCCCATTGAATTTTTTTGAACGCATTTTCCTGTCACAAATTTATTCACAATATTACTTCTATCACAAAATAGTCACTAAATATGGAACCTGGAGAGACAGAGCATTTGAACAATATTTGTTTTGTCAAGATAAGAACAAGTTTTGATCGTAAATATTGACGCCGCCCACTAGGAAATGAAAACACAATGTCAGATTTCAAAATGGATTAAACAGGAAAGCTTAAATTCTCAAAATTCATTCTGTGATATCTCATTTAGGATGATTACTAAAATATGTGATGGTTGGGGAGGAAAAAAAGTGTGGCTGAGAGTGAGGTTAAACTGTTATTCAGTGATAATCTGGCCTCTCATTCTCTGCATATTCAAACTGGTTGTAATATACATTGGTGTTTGATGTTAAGAATATCAAATGTTGCCCGATGCAACTAGAAATGCAGTTTTTAATAAAATTAGAAATCTTACTAAAGTACTAAAATAACTCAAACTAAAATAAATACAACTTCATAAAATCTATATATAGACATTCCAAAAAAAACAACAACTAATAAAAGCAAAAACTAAAAAATACTAAAACTAAAATGAAAATAAAATCTAGTTCAAGACATGTATAGTTTCTGAAGACATATTTACATATAACACATGAGTCATAAAAACTGCTTGTGTAATGTTTGCGTGGTGCTTTTGGCCTCTGTGGCGCTCGAGCTCCTGGTTATGAAATACTTCTAAACATCTTTTCTGTTCCTCTGCAGAAAGAAAGGTTTGTTCAGATTTTCATGAGGTTGATTAAATGTCCATATTTGGGTTAACTGAAGTATTGATGTAACTACGTAATTAATTTGTATAGATTGCCGGGTGTTTTTTGCACTCAGGCGTCAGAACATGTGTGCGCTCTGCCAGGATGTGTCTCTGACATGCATTGAGTTAGAGAAAGAAGTGTATATTAAATTCACTTTTCACACCATCCTCATCTCCATCAGTGAATTTCCCATCCGTTGGGAGGATTATAGATCTCATGTACTGCTGTGACCACCAGTGCAGGCTTTGCTAAAGGGCTCATCGAACCGTAAAAATGACTAATGGGTCACCTTTTGATTTCATTGAGAAGTGCAGACCCAAAGACTGACCGAATCTCCACACAGAGTGCACCATTTGGGACGTCGCCACACACACACACACACACTCGCATGTGAAGTACCCTTCTGCTTCTTTCCGATCACCTGGGAAAGAGCTTCTAGCCTGTGTTTGATTGTCTCTACGCTTCTCCCTCTTGTGAACAGCTGGCCGGTCGGGGTTTGATCAAAGGCAGGGATCACCTGATGTGGGTGCTCCTGCAGTTCATCTCGGGAAGCATTCAGAAGAACGCTCTGGCTGACTTCCTGCCCGTCATGAAGCTGTTTGACCTGCTGTACCCCGAGAAAGAGGCGAGTGACTCTGCTTTCATTGCTTTCATTTAAGCGGGACACGGCGGCCTGTGAAGGCTTCATGAATTCATAATGTGACACTCTAAACATGCTGTTGGTGAAGGTCATCTGAACAAGGCTTAATTTAGTGCTAGCAGACCCTGCTAACCTCTTTTGTTCAGCCGCTCATTAGTAATCATTCAGCAGAGTCTTGGACTTGCAGTGTGCTTCAGTGCCTCGCTCTAGGACACAGAGGTGACTCTAATAAAAACTTGCTTTTATAAGGCAGAGAGTTCCGGTGCTTGATTCTGATTGGCTGAGCCGCGTTCAAAGCTGTTATAAATGACGCTACAAAGTAACACACACCTTTGTTTACGTTTGTGTGTTGCTCGGCAACCACTTTGTAGCAACCACAACTGTTTCTGAGGAGCTACATTGTTTGGTGGAAGAATACTGTGTTTATTAATATCATTACACTTTATTTGCTCTGTTTTATTCTGTGAAAGCTTACTACGTATATGCAATAACCGGTTAAGAAAAACATAAAATTAATGTGTAATTAATGCATATATCTATCAAAATGCTCCTTTCTAGTTTTTCCCCCTAGCCAACTATTGAGTTTATGGTCCTTGAATGTCATTCCTAAGGTAAATGGGATGTTACGTGTCTTTATTGTTTGCAAGTTGTTTTATTGACATCTTTCCGCGGTTGGAACACTGGTTGATCGATTACATGAGATGTGATTGATTTCAGTAAGTTGCTCTGTTTCTGATGTTCATTCATGTTTATTTGCTGCTGTAACTAGTAGTAAAGAGGAAGAGATGATCGATTCACATGCTGCTTGAACTGATGCTGATACAGTGATCCTTCACAGCACATTAAAGAGCGGCAAACCACATATCATATAAGCTTATTTTGATTACAGTTTAATAAAGCAATAAGCCCCAAGAAGCCATAGTTTACAACAGCTCCACAGAATGCAGACTTCCACAGATTCAGTTCAGTCTTATTAAATTCCCCCCTGCATGATTTAAGGGAACCATATAGTCAACAGACTGAGGGGCACAGCCAGAACCGATATCAGCCGTCTGTCATTAGTGCTGCCAATATATTAGCTCACTGTATTAGTCATTTAGGCAGTTGCTGTGATTAGTGATGTCCTCGGCTAGCTACACCGTCATAGTGGTTAGCTTTGTGCTTGTCTGTTTGTGAAGCCTAGCAGGACAGCTGATGAAACACAAGCTGCTGTGATCCAGCCATTAGCCCACAGCATCTGTGAAGGACAGACGTGCTGCGACTGCCCATCAGCCCTGGAGTTTAGCTGAAGCATGTAACGAGCACAAGGCAATTAGATGCTCGCCCAGAGGAAAGCATTAATGAGTTCTTCACGAAATAGGCAGAAGAGTCTGATTGTATCGATAATGCTATAGACTTCAGATCGCTTTAAATCCAGCTGTTAGCTCCTATTTTTAAAGGTTTCTGAAATAAGTCTCTTCTGCTCACCAAGGCTGCATTTATTTGATCAAAATACAGTAAAAACAGTAATGTTGTGAAATATTATTACGGTTTAAAACAGCTGTTTTCTATGTGAATATCTGTTAAACTGTAATGTATTTCTGTGATGCGCAGCTGTATTTTCAGCATCATTCCTCCAGTCTTCAGTGTCACATGATCTTCAGAAATCAGTATAATATGCTGATCTGCTGCTCGAGAAACATTTCTGATTATCATCAATGTTGAACACAGTCGTGCTGCACAATATTTTTGTGGAAACTGATACATTTTATTTTTCAGGATTCACAGATGAAGAGAAAGTTCAAAAGAACAGCATTTATTTGAAAAAGAAGTCTTTTGTAACATTATACATGTCTTTACTGTCACTTTTGATCAATTTAATGTGTCCTTTCTGAATAAAAGTATTAATTTCTTTAAAAATGACCACAAAATTTTGAACAGTAGTGTAAATCAATATTAAACATGAAAGTTCATAGCCAGATCCTGACACGAATGGAGGACTATGATGTTGTTGTTTTTTATAATGTAATGAAGATCATTTTCAAGTTGTAATTTGTGTTTCGGATTGTAACAACCTAGACTTGGCAAATTAAGAAAAAATTAAAGAAATGGAATCATAGATGACTACCAAGCACAAGTCTGCAGAAATGTTTATTAATGCACACCTTTGGGGGAAATTATTATTTAAAGTAACAAGTTGTATTACAGATAATGAAAGTATTTGTTACATCTTTCTATGGCACATAGATAGAGCATCCAAATTAAAGATAGTTCAAACAAAAAATAAGTTTTCTGAAGTCATATGATCCTTGAGAAACCAACTGGCATCTAGTACATTATTTACTAAAAATCTCCCTTCTACACGCTTAAATTGTGATGCACAACTCTGTGCTCAGAATGAGGGGAAGAAAGATACTGTGTAAAAGCTAGTTAGTTCTCAACAGCGTTTTGAATTACGTGTGGCTTTGTTTTGTAGTGTATTCCAGTCCCGGACATCAACAAGCCTCAGTCCACGCATGCCTTCGCAATGACCTGCATCTGGATTCACCTGAACCGCAAAGCTCAGAACGACAACTCCAAACTCCAGATCCCCATCCCACACTCGCTCAAGCTGCACCACGAGTAAGACACGCACTCTCACTCTCTCTCACACACACACACACACACACACATGTTGGTTTTTATGGTTTATGAAGGCTCTCCATAGGCATAATGGTTTTTATACTGTACAAACCGTATTTTCTATTGCCCTACACCAACCCTACCCCTAAACCTACCCCTCACAGGAGACTTTCTGCATTTTTAGATTTTCAAAAAAACTCATTCTGAATTATTTATAAGCCTTTTGAGTTATGGGGACACTCAAAATGTCCTCATAAATCACATTCTCTTTGTAATACCTATGTCATTATACAAATTTGTGTCCTCATAAACCACATTAACATGCACAACACAATCTCACTCACACACACACACACACTCTCTCTCTCACACACACACACACTCTCTCACACACACACACACTCTATCTCGCTCACACACACACTCTATCTCGCTCACACACACACACACACACACTCTGTCTCGCACACACACTCTCACTCACTTACTCTCTCACACACACACTCTCTCTCTCACACACACGCTCTATCTCTCTCACACACACACACGCTCTCTCTCACACACACACACGCTCTCTCTCACACACACACACGCTCTCTCTCACACACACACACGCTCTCTCTCACACACACACACACTCTCTCACACACACACACACTCTATCTCGCTCACACACACACTCTATCTCGCTCACACACACACTCTATCTCTCTCACACACACACTCTCTCGCGCACACACACACTCTCGCTCACACACACTCTCTCGCTCACACACACACTCTCGCTCACACACACACTCTCGCTCACACACACACTCTCGCTCACACACACACTCTCGCTCACACACACACACTCTCGCTCACGCACACACACACTCACTCACGCACACACACTCTCACTCACGCACTCACTCACTCTCACACACACACTCACACACTCTCTCTCTCACAGCCACACACACACACTCTCTCTCACTCACACACACACACACACACACACACTCTCTCTCTCTCTCACACACACACTCTCTCTCTCTCTCACACACACACTCTCTCTCTCTCTCACACACACACTCTCTCTCTCTCTCACACACACACTCTCTCTCTCTCTCACACACACACTCTCTCTCTCTCTCACACACACACTCTCTCTCTCTCTCACACACACACTCTCTCTCTCTCTCACACACACACTCTCTCTCTCTCTCACACACACACTCTCTCTCTCTCTCACACACACACTCTCTCTCTCTCTCACACACACACTCTCTCTCTCTCTCACACACACACTCTCTCTCTCTCTCTCACACACACACTCTCACTCACACACACACTCACTCTCTCACACACACACTCACTCTCTCACGCACACTCACTCTCTCACGCACACACTCTATCTCACTCACACACACACACTCACTCTCTCACACACATGCACTCTCACACACGCACACGCTCACTCTGTCATGCACACGCTCACTCTCTCACACACGCACACGCTCACTCTCTCACACACGCACACGCTCACTCTCTCACACACACTCACTCTCTCACACACACTC